GGCCCACCTCAGCCCACATTGGCCCACATTGGTCCACCTTAGTCCACTTAGGTCCGCCTCGGCCCACATTGGCCCGCATTGGTCCACATCGGCCCACATTGGCCCACATCGGCCCGCATAGGTCCACATTGGTCCGCCTCAGCCCACATTGGCCCACCTCAGCCCACATTGGCCAACATTGCCCCGCCTTAACCCGGATCGCTCTGAATCAGCCCCCATTGGCCCGCATTGGCCCACATTGGCCCGCCTCGGCCCGCCTCATCCTCCATCATCACTTTCTCTTTGTCCGGGACCTTGACGCGCGCTGCCTCCTCCCGCGCGCGCTCCCGCGGCCACAGCGCGCGCGCCCGCGGCAGCAGCAGCTGGATGTCTGCGCGAGGACCCCCGTGCAGCTGAGCCGGTGAGCACGCGCACGCACGCACGCACGCGGACGCGCAAACTTTGCCCCTCGTGGCGTGTTTTCGGGGTTTAGACTCACTTCCGGTGGGGGGGGGTAACGTCATATATAACCGGGTTGCGTAATTGTGCCGGTTTGTGAGTGGAGCGCGTGCGTTCAGAGTGGCCCCACGTGCACGCGCGGGTTCTCGTGCGGGATGATGCTTTGAGGGGATCGCGTGCACGGCTGGGAACGAAAAGCCCGCGCGTGAGGCGCGTGCGCGTGAGGGGGAAACAGGGATGGAGCTCAACTTTAAGAGCAGAAAAACTGCCCTTAAAAAGCTTTTTTCCTTTAATCTAAAGGTCTCGAGATGCCTCTTTGATTATGAATTTTCACAATATTATAAATCACTATCACATTTACCTTTTAATATTGTTTTATTTAAAAAGGTGTTTTAGTTGTATTGTTTAATTTGTATTTATGTTTTCTTCTATCACTCTAATTAAGTAAATGTAGAAATTCTGAACTGTAACACAATTTAAATTTCTCCAATAGAGAATAATTAGTGGGTTTTTTGTATTTACTTTTAGAAAATTAGATGATTAATTGAAATGTCCAGAGCTTTTACAGTGTTTTTACAGCTTTTTAGATTATTGAAAATGTACTTAAGTGATTAAATGTTCCAGCTTTTATAACAGCTCACGTATTTTACTTTGATTTTGATTTAAGACTGAAAAATATAAGCAACAAAGTCAAAACCCGTCAGTCTCTCTCTGCAGAAAATGCAGATTTTAATGGGATTCATGTGAGAAAAAAACAGATTTCTGTGCCGGATAACAGCAGAAAACATGTGCGATGAATTTTACAGGAATTTAAAAACGGTTAGAGCTCTAAATCTAAAGAAATTCTCTTACATAAGGAGCCTTTCAGCTCAAGGTTCCCGAGCACAGAGGGGCGGAGGAGGGAGAGGTAAACACCAGCACTTTCCTCCGGAGTCTCCTCACACCGGCTTTGTTTGCAGCCAAATTCAAACAAAACCCATTTTGGGGATCGTCCTCGGTTAAATTTGTCAGGGACAGAAGTCAAACAGCAAAATGGAGTTCATTTAATGAAACAAAATAGTCAAAAAACCCG